CAAAACCTACACCCCATACTGAAAAGAACTCCTGATGAGTGACAGAAAATTTATTATTCTTGATTTGAAATCTCAATGACACTGCTTAAACAACGGACGCATTCATTATTAAAGATCGAACATTCACCATAATATATATTGAGCGATTATGTATCAAACGAGAGAAGACAAAAAATATTATATTGAGATATGTTTATGCCGAAGAATGCTTCGAGACGCACATGTATCCATTGTTTTCCGTATGTATCAGTTTTTACTCTGTTGGATATAATACGAAAGCTACACAGTCTGAAGTTATAGCCGAACAATTTTGGTTCCCGTTATTACCATGTATTTACAAGCTGAAAATGTATCCATTGAAAGAGAAACGTGCAACAGAATCGAGTCAAAATTGAAGGTAGATGTAAAATATTCCGTGTACACTAAGTGGCCGTAGTTTGGTTGCTTGATTTTTTTTTCTCTTCTGTTCTGTGTAGACATTCAGATAGAGTCAATAAAAATCGGTACAATGCGATACAAACGAAAAACATTATCATATAATTGCCTGTTTTTTTTTTCTTTCACTTCTCCTTGTTGGTTTAATATGTCGATCATATAGAAGGCCTTCTCTTTTCTTTCTTCTAGTCTACCAGCATACATCATTTTTGACTAAAGCAATAATCGATGACAGTACCACAAATATCCGACGACGAATATCTCCAACGAGAATTTAACAAAATTGACAAAGGTTTGTTTTAGTTTCTTTTTCTCAAAAGCGTGTTGATCACATGCATTGATTTTTCAAAAAATGTCTTATTTTTTGTTATTAATTTGAATAAGTACATTAAATGATGACAGTCTATGTATTTAGATAAGACGGGTAAAATATCCGTGACCGAATTTCGCAACTTGCTCTTGGCTGATGAATTTCTTCAGAATTTTCGTAGTACAACAATTGACACTTATATTGCCGAATTGAGTAATAATTCAGGATGGATTACATTTGAACAATTTAAACACTTTATGAAAACCGAAACGCGTACATACAAAAATCCTCTAGTGATTATGGAACTCAAACAAGCATTCAACGAGGTCGATACTAATAAGGATGGTTTTATATCACCACAAGAAGCGCACCAAGGTATTACTTTAGCTCGTCAACGTATACCTGAAGGTATTTTTGGCCAAATTGTTCAAATGTTTGATGATAATCATGACGGACAAATGTCACTTGAAGAATTTTTAACTAATGTTCAGAAATTAGTTCGCAAATAAATTGAAAACAGATGTTGAATGTTAAGAAACTTTTCTAATCAGTTTCAAAAGTTCAACGCAACCATATGGCGATGCAATCGTTGTGCGTTTCGCACATTTGGTTTCCATTAAATGAACACCATATTCTTAATAGTAAATTAAGACCAGCAGCAAGAATATGACTAGTAGTACCCGTGGAATCAAATGATAGAAGACGAAATAAACATGATGCAATACCACCTAATTATTTTTGATTATATCTAGAAAGAAATAGAATTTGATTCGTTTTATTTTTTGAAAAATGATCTTCTTTACAAAACAGTATATTGTCTAAGAGTTGCATCTATTGAAATCACGTCAACATTTTACTTCACGCCATTGATCACGAAAAGCCATTTTTGTTTACTATTGATTTCATACTCTGTGCAAATATATTTTCGATAACAACATAATGCATCTTATGAGTGTAAAATAGGTAAACGGGTGTTAGTAGAAGATGATACAATTCAAAGAATATATTTGTTTTAGAAAAGTAAAGAATACAAAAAGTAAAAATATCATTTATTTTTATTTCTCTTGTGTGTGCTATGCCAGATGGTGACAATGGTGTAGCCAACGGAGGGCAAATACCCATTTCATTTGAAGATTTGCCCATTGTAATTTTTATGAATAAGTTTTGCTCATTGAAATTATACTTTTTTAGAATGGTTTATTTATTTTTGAATTAGATAGTAACTCAATTTTTGTCTTTCTGTCTGAATTACACATGTGCACTTTTTGCTTGTTCTTTCTGTGAACAATTAAGAAAAGAAGAAAGAAAGAATCACTGTCTGGTATTTTAATCAGGATTACCAGATGAAAAACTTGAAAATCAGAAAAAAAATCAGAATATTTTCTTTGAAATCGGAAACTAATCAGAAAGAGTAACTTCTTGCAAACCAAGACCTGTCATGTTGACATACTTGCATAAAATGTTTCATTGTTTTTTTTTATCGACTCATACTTTATTTCTAACAATAGTTCACAGTAAAGAAAGACAACACAAACGTTATATAGCTTAGAGTGAAAGATCGTATATTGTAAGCTAACGAGATTTATCATAGTCGGATCAAATGAACGCTCTCACTGTCAAACTAATTAGTTAAAAATATGAGCTGCCAATAGCGTAGACAGGCCGAGACATTCGATCTTCAAGATATTTACAGTTTGTCATGGGTCCATAGCACGAAATTTCGTCGATACTCAGTTTTCTTTTTTCGTCATAGTTGAATGGAGCACGACCATTTGCATAAGAAAAAATCATATCACGCATATTAAAAAGTAAATTCTACGAAGGCTAAGACAACACTTTGTTTAATTATAAGGATAATTAACAAAAAATTCTAATTGCTATCAAATTATTTTAAAATATGTGTAATATTCTCTCTTCTTGTATAAATAGTCATGCTCCATCCAACCGTGACGAAAAAAGAAAACTAAATGTTGATGAAATTCTGTAGTGTGGACTGATGACCAACTGTAAATATCTTGAAATGTACGACTTTGACCAATCTCCTTAGTTCGCAGTTACATGGCCTTCAATTGTTAGTTAATATAAAAAACGCTAGCAAAAGACATCTACTGTCGGATTCTTTTTTATAAAGCCCAAAACTCTGTTTACGAAAAATATGTGTAAACAAATCACATATAAACTATGGAGATCAAAAAATTTGATGAAAAATAATAAATATTATAGAACATAAATGCCATATTATTTTTCAAGTTTTTCTTTGTTCAAAAAAATAATTAATATTCATTCTTAAGATCTGGGTGTGGGCTTGTTTTCATCTACACACACTCTATATGCGCACTCCACACCTACACCCTCTCACGATATCATCCAATAGAAAATAATATTTATTCGTTTATTTATTCTTATTATGATGGTTTATTCTGTAGAATTCTATACTCATACTATATTTACAATCAATCTTTGGTACTACGGTATAAGTATTTAATTGTAACTCAACACAAGAATATGATGAATTAAACTAATACTAAAAATTGATAAGAAGGATGAATAGGAATATTTACTCAAAGATTAGAACTAAAATATCATCAATAACATATGATATTTTTTAATGTTAATCCTGAACAATAAGATAAATTTATAGATGAAAAAAAAAGAATATATTTGTCATTCCTATCCTTGTTCAAAT